TTTTGTTCCCTCTGTAGACACTTACGACATCCATAGGACGATATGAAAGAAGTGCATATTGTCACACGGCTATACTACACGGTTAACACAGATTGCCATAACATAGGTGGATATTTGTCTTCATTTTATTAGTTTTCACGTTCAGTTTTCACGCTCGGTGGGCAGATTGGTAACCGGAGCTTTTTTTGTCGTTATTAGGAAGACACTACTGCCTCTGATGGGATTTGTTTCCCTTGGTCGCCTCTTGCGACACCCACGGGACCATATTGTCCCTATTAGTAATGGATGTTTACTCTAACATCACCACAACACGATTCGAAAGCGATCTGAATGTTCCCAAATGTAGGCTTCCCCCTAGATTGCTTCATAAGGAGGATATTTGGCATAGTTGCCGAGCTTGGCAAGCGGGTTGGCAACGGCAGTTTTTTTTTATTTTTAGTCGTTATTAGGAGGACGCTGCTGTCAATCTCCTGATTTGTTTCCCTCTGTCGCCTCTTACGAAACCTTTGTGATGATATGGGGTAGTGGATATTCTTACACCGCCACTACAGGGTAATAATAATTTAGAATAATACTCTAGAATAATAATTATCCCTAAAACTCGTGTTAGCCTTCCAACATTTCTACCCAGTGCATAGACGCTTTTCATCATATTTAAGCTACATAAATCTATTTCGGCTACAGTCGGTGGCATCAGTCATCAACCGTTTGTCTCGGACGTGTGTTCCGGGTTGGATGTAAGCCAGAATCGCACAAAGGATGCATAAAAGGCACCAAGCATATCCAGAATTATGACGCCAAAAACTAAACACGAACCGGCCGCGGCCATTTCGCTCCCGAACTACTTTAGGATGCAACTACATGAGTTTGACCTTACGCAAATAGTCCATATGATTTATTATTTCTTTGGTCTGATGAATTAATATCTCACACTGTATCTACTTTATTAATACTACTAATGCCATAAATGTGAGTTTGTATGAATGTCTACATGTTTTTGGCTCAAGCATGCAAAAAGTACTGAACGATATTTGATGAAACTTGGCAATATTATAGAAAACCAATCAGTATAGATAATAAAGTATATTTTGTTCAAAAAAGAAATTTACGTCTATTTTAAATTACAGATTTCTAATTCATGATAAAAAAAATCACCAATAAAATTTCATTTAAGCGCGTAGACGGGATGCATTTTTCCATACAAATTTATTCCCCTGTTCTCTTCCTGGATAATGCCTCTAGAGTAATCGTTTTTGTTTATAAAAATCTAGGTCTATTGAAGGCATGCACCCTGTCATTATATTTTTCCAAAAAATTATTACAAAAATAAATATGACTTTCCAAAAACGTAAAAAAATGCCCCGTTTTTGCCTCCGTAATCAGACGACTACCAAAGTAATTTGAAAGCGATAGGAGCATAGACCTTATTCTTCCTTTAAATTTAGATATCAAAAATAATTTAATCGGCTTAGTTTTCGAGGAGAAAATAGGGGAATACGAAACGTCGTCATGGTTTTTGTAGGTAAAATCCTTCTGAGCTGCAGTTGTCCCTATCGCACTCTACGGGGGGAGACCATAAATAGCAAGACGGCAATAGTTTCTTCAAATACCTATTTCTCAATCCCCACGCAGACCGACTACGCTCTTAATCATCATCATCATCATTACAGCCTTTCATAAGTCCACTGCTGAACATAGGCCTCCCCCAAGGAATGCCACAAAGCACGGTCCTGAGCCACCTGCATCCATCGACTTCCTGCATGTCTTACGAGGTCGTTACTCCATCTCGTGTACGCTCATACTCACATACGCTCTTAGTGTGTGAACCATAATAGATAGAACTATAAAATGTACTAATGTATATCTATTTATCATAAATTGGTCATGTGCAGCAATAATTGAGTATGTGCTACAGAGTTCTGCAACTTTTAGTTAAAATATTTTCAGTTACAAATAAATCCGTCGGCTTTCAGTGTTTCCGCGAGTGGGCCACGCATAAAAGCTAGTCTTTTATATTAAATATAAATACGTTTTGAGTTAATATAGGTTCTGAACAAAGTCTAGAAAAATAAATACAGCTCATAAGGAAGTGAAGCATTAGTGGCGGCTGTGGCCCATAAACACTGACATCTGTCATCGATTAAGAACCAAAACAAGAATAGTGGTTAAAACATTTTATACGTGGTAGAGCCATGCTGCAGCTATATTAGTAGTATAGTTGTAGCACGAATGGGTCGGCTCGACCGGGGAAGGACCACGCTCTCACAGAACACCAGCGTAAATTAGCAGCTTAACACTGATGTGTTTCGTATGGTGAGTGTAGAGAACCGGAGACCCTTTTTACTGGAAAAGAGGCATTCCATCTAAGTCCTCACGGGTGACAACGCATCTGCATTTTGATTCTTTATCAAGGATAGATGTAGATGTCTATTGGTCACAACAACCACTTACCATCAGGTGGACTGTGTGCTTGATTGTCACCCTAGCCTATCAAAAAAAAAACGGTAACTAAAAACTTCGTGCTATACCTATAACAGATCTTAGTCTTGGTTTTACCACGTTAATACATTTTTACGTAACAAAAGTATGAAATGTGCTCGAATTTACAATGTGTTCAAAAACGTACATGAGTCACTACCATAACAGTGACAAGCCTTAGTTGTCTTGTAGTATCATCAGACGTTTCGCAGCTTCATATCGCTGAGCTGGGGACCATCAGTCTGAAATACCTTAAGTTAGAGTTCGGTGAAGGATTGTAACCATCCAATAGTCCACGGAACTCTAACTTCATAGCGTTATAAAAGGTAATCTAGGTTCTATTATATATAGGTCTTTTTTTTATAGGGGAGGGGGGGGCAAACGAGCATGCGGCTCACCTGATGGTAAGTGACTACCGCCGCCCATGAACAACCGCAACACCAGGGGAGTCGCAGATGCGTTGCCGGCCTTTTAAAAAGGAGTAGGCTCTTTTCTTGAAGGTCCCTAAGTCGTATCGGTCCGGAATAATCGCTGGTGGTAATCGATTCCACAAGGAAGTTGTGCGAGGAAGAAAACTTCTAAATCGCACAGTGGTGGACCGCCAATCATCCAGATGGTATGGATGGTATCGCGAGTTTTGTCGCGATGTGCGATGGTGAAATTGGGCGGCTGGAATTAGTCCGAACAATTCCTCAGAGCACTCCCCGTGATAGAAGCGATAAAATACGCAAAAAGATGCAACATCTCTACGCAGTGCCAATGAGTCAAGCCGATCGGAAAGAACTCGGTCGTCGACGATTCGAACCGCTCTGCGCTGGATGTGGTCAAGTGGAAGGAGCTGGCACTGGGGAGCCCCTGCCCAGAGATGGGAACAGTATTCCATGTGAGGCCGAACCTGCGCCTTGTAAAGTTGCAAGCGGTGTGCCGGCATGAAATACTGTCCCGCTCTGCTGAGCACGCCAAGCTTTTTAGAGGCCAATTTGGCCTTCTCTTCCAAGTAACCATGAAACTGCACGTCACTCGATATGTCGACACCAAGGATCCCCGATACTGGCTGAGGCAACAAGGGGAGTGCCTTGAAACTGAAGGTCTGTAATCTAATTTCGCTATAATATTATTCACAAAAAATATATAGAATTCATAATAACACATCAGATTTGAATGATTCTGTTTTATTAAATAAGTTATACTTCAAGGGTGATTCTTCATAAATTTGGAGAAAAAATTTCATCCCTAAGGGTAGGAAAATAGGGGATGAAGTTTTTAACGTAACTATTTAAACGACATTCAAGTCACAAGTCAACTTACCTTGAGCTTGTGATATTAATAAGTCCACATAAAAGGGTTAAAAAATTAAATATTAAATAAAAAATCGATCCACCTTACCGGGTCCCGTTGTGAATCTAAACCATACTCGAATAAACTATCACACAACTTAATCACACACATAAAATTTCATCAATATCGCTCGAGTTTTTGATGCGGTTTTCACAGATTTTGATGAAATTTTGTGTGTGTGATGATTAAGTTGATTCGAGAATGGTTTAGATTCACAATTGGACCCGGTAGGTGGCGTTGTTGCCGAGATCCAGGAAACAATCGCGCGAAGCCGGGGCGAATATTTTATATATCAGTCATGCAAAATTTCCTCGCTAAGCCCCTCGTCATTCCCAGCATAATTGTGTCATCAATCATTCAATGAGACCTACTTTCTACGACGGCGTCAAGTGCATGCTAAGTTCAAATGATACCATGTGTTTTTACGGGCACCAAACTCGATTTCTTTTATAGATGAACGTCCACCTGATGGTACGTGAATGCTGTGGCCCATAGATATCTAAATTTATATTCAATTGAGAATCAAAATGTAGATGCATTGTCATCCCTGAGGACTAAGATGGAATGCCTCGTTTCCAATAAAAAGTGTCTCCGGTTCTCTACACTCATCATTATCACATCAGCAGCGTTAAGCTGCTATTTTACGCTGGTATTCTGTGAAAGCCAGTTCCCAGCCAGGCGAGACGACCCATTCATGCTACAACCATAATATAGGTGCAGTGTGGCTCCACCACGTATAAAGATCATCCATCCATTCAATTCCATCAAACCAAACGACATTTCCTATAAAAGTAAGTATATTTTCTTAATTATTAAACATCTTAAAACTTCATCCCGAAACAGACAATACAAGAAGCTCGCCAAACTTAGAAATTGAGACAAATTTTGTCATTATAATATATTCAAATAAAAGGTACACAAAAAAAAAAGAATCGAAGAGATCAATCTTAATTAATTAAATAATTTGAAATTCGTAAGTCTTGGAATGAGATAATAACCAATTTTTTGCCCGGCCCTCCTGGATAGAGTCACGAACTTGTAATAGCTGCAGGAAGTCGATGGATGCAGGCGCCTCAGGAACGTACTTCGAGGTGATCCTTGGGGGAGGCCCAATTTCAGCAGTGGACTTGTGACGGGGTGTAATAATAATGAACTAAGTACGTAATATATTGGTCCATACATACCTTCACTCTCAATCTTTGGTCCACGCACTCCTTCAATATCGCAAGTGGCCCTTCCATTTTCTCTATACGCGTGAGGATGTTTTTGGTCCTGTAACTTGGCAGCGGTCTCTTCGGCACCAACCCTGAGCAAACCGGTTAGATTATATATTTTTTACTATTATAAGCCAGCGCCCACCAGATGGTAAGTAGAGTGATGCAGCCGAAGATGGTAAGGTGCACTAACTTAGCTTAACAGAAGCCTTTTCACTCTTGCCTTGAAGACACCCACATTATAATCGGATCGAGAGACAGATGCTGGCAGATTATTCCCCTACTTTGCTGTTCGCATTATGAACGACGAAGCAAACGGTTATTCCCGTGTAAATAAATTCCCTACAAAATAAATATTTTAATTCACTTATGTACACCTAGAATGCGAAACGTAAAGATGGGATTTATTGTCGAGCTGTCAAGGTCACGTATTAAATCGGTTTTATCATATTCTATATCCACAGAATACCAGTGTAAAATAGCAACATAATACTGCTGTATTTCGTATGGTGAGTGCAGAGAACCGAAGAAACTTTTTACATAAAACGAGGCATTCCATCTTAGTCCTGAATGGTGACAGCGCACCTGCATTTTTAATACTTAATCGAAAATAGATGTTGATGTCTATAGGCTACAGCATCCACCTACTATCAGGTGGACTGGGTGCTCGTTTGTCACCCTTATTCTATAGAAAAAACTAAGTAAATCACACTAGTGATTGAGTACAAAATTTTTTCAACTTCAAAAGATTACTAGAAATAACAACAAAACAACTATAGGTTTTTTATGGTAAAAGAAAATTTTTTAAGAAATCAGAAAATTATAACTTCAAAAAAGTTTCACGCAAAGTCACCGTAAGCATGGAAAGTGTAGTGACGGAGCAAAATGATTTCCAATGACAGAGCACTTTCGATATTATAACTCAAAAGCAACTTGTATCACAAATCACAATTACCACATCCTACAAGTATATGTATTCGAAAATTAAGAAGCTAACTACACAAAATGACACGTTCGAGACGAAGAAAGTGAAAATAAACTCACGACTGAAACGCATTGAAACGGCGGTTCGCAAGTTGCTCAAAATTGAAGTGAAAATTACAATTAATTGGAATGTCCATGTCGAATATATTTCGAACGTCTATTGATAAACCTAACAATTACGTCACACTGAATTAGCAAACATTTCTCTGATATAACGTTTATACTGTTATACAAAAATGTTCTTAAAACCTCTCTATATAATAATACCTAATGTATTTTGGTCATTAAAGACTTAAAAGAAAGCGTGGTTTCAACGTAAAAAAAGTTAATTAAACTCGTGTAAGAGACGTTATTGCGATTATTGTTTTAAATAAACAGAAAGTGTTTGGACATGTTTGTTGTATATTTGAAACAATGAATCTGATTCAGGTGCAATTCAGTGCGAAAAATTAAGTCAATAAATTGTATGCGTCTCTCACGTCGAGGTACCAGGGAGGCATGGCTCGCGAGCGGTCGGCGATCGCGAATTACTTTCACTCCGCTATCCCCGGGCGCTGACCGCGGCGGGGTCGTCGCCCGACTGAACGCGGGAAACGCCGTCCGCCACCGCGCCATTCAGAAAACCGCGCCATGTTTACACAGATGCGCGCCGAAACGCGTTCCGTTGCATCACTTCCGTTTGCGTTCCGTTTTGTACATTACGTGTTCATGTGACTTAGTTACCGATGTCTAGTTTATTAGTTTGTTATTTAATATTTAGCAAATCTCTCGCAACGCGTGCAACATATTCAAATGCGATGTATGTTATCATTCTCTACTATAATTTATTATAAAATATCACAGTCTCAAAATAATGTAATATCACATAACCAAGTTAATAATAGCATGTTCTTACTTAAAATAAATAAATAATAAGAAGTAACACGCAGTTACGAGTAAGTATAGCAATATGATAAAAGTGAGTTACATCGTCGCCGGCTGCGCACGCGCAGTCGCCCGCAGCACGATAACAGAACACGCGACTATATATTGGTATCTGCTTCGTTAATTTTTCTTGTAAACATGTAATATGCTTAGATTTAGTAAATCTTTAAAAAAATATTTTCTGTTGCACTCTGGTTTGTGATTAATATTATTAATTACATTCAACTCTCATTCAAAGTAAAATAAAAACTCTACGTATGGACATGATACAAAAGTCGATTATAAATATTAATTTCAACGCCAGCGGCTCTCAAAAGACGTGTCTTCAAAATCGTTTCACAAAAACTGAGAGGCAGGACGAGTTTCCTTTTCTTACTGATAAATCTGCGAATATCTGGACGCCGTGTCAACGACCGATGTTCCAGGGTGCAAGGGAGACAGCATGCCTCGTGGAAAGCGGTTATGCAACAAATGCGCATGAGAAAGTCGCCTAGCTAAGTGCGCTACATTTACCATCGCAATTTCATATCGAGATGACATGATAAGTTGCGCAGAGATGTTACCTACCGTATGGCGCAGGATTCCTCCCATTGTGGATTTGACGGTTTGTAAACGTACGGTGAAGTAATGTAATAGTTATCATCGACAGTATCTCAAGATTACAAATGTTAGCACACTACTAAAATTGTACATTTCTATTAGACTACTCGTCTTTTTTTAACATTTTTTTTTTAAATATAACAATTATAGAAGTTATGAAAAACATTTAAGGTTAGTTTTCTTAGTATTTATTCTATAATATATGATTAACTCCTTGCTGACAGTTGATAAAAAACATGCTTTAGTAATTTATCCAAACAGGTTTTTCATTCACGAAACGGTGTTTAATTTAATCAAGCACCACACTAATTGGAAAAGACAAGGAACACAAACGAAGATATGCGCCTAATTCCACTATCAGATTCTTATGTGATATGTATATACTAATTAGAAATAAATTGCACAAAAGGAGTCCCAACAGTTGAGCAATGTTCACAAGAATAACAACAAATACATTCAAGGAGTTTGCCGCCACACAGCTGGCTGATTCGTAATGGCGGCTACTTTTCCGCGCCATTTTCGTCAAATTAACTGGAACATTAACGCTGATCGCACGCGATTGCTTGCTGACTGTCACATTTTAAATAACTAGTTCATTTTAATGACCACTAAAGACAAATATAACAAATACTGTAACTGTGGTAAGACTTCAATTCTGTTTTGCAGAATAACAACTGTTTTCATTTATAGCATTAAAGATAGATGGTACGTTAGGTCATATTCTTCACCGTGTAGTGGCGGTGTAAGAATAATCACTACCCCATATCGTCCCGATGGTGTCGTAAGAGGCCACATAGGGAAATTGAAACATGTGATCGGCAGCAGCATCTTCCTGATAACAAATCAAAATAAAAAAGTGTGTGTGTACTTATGCACGCACGTAGGAAGTTATATTTCTTTAGCGAAACAAAACAAAAAATCTTGAGAGACTTACCTACTGAACTTGTCGCTTTTAGTTTTTTTTTTTTTATAGCAGAGGGGGCAAACGAGCATAGTTGTCAGTGTGCGCGTAAAATTCACTCTCATAATTTTTCCCAAACGCCCCAAAAGAGGTATAACTTCAATAAAAAAAATAACGGTTGACGACCCGATCGCCAAGCGTATCAACTACGGCAAAATTCCCTCTATAAGGCAATCTATGGGGGAAGCCTATGTTGAGCAGTGGACTTTTATAGGATGTAATGGATAATGTCTGAACTCAATGAATTTTATTTTTTAAGAGCCGGGATAAAACTGTAACTAGACATTCATAACTAATCTCGTGGACAATGAAAAAGGTTTACGAAAATTTTAATAACTATGAAAACATGAAAATGTTGTTGCTTATTGAAAAAAGTAATAATGAATTCCCTGTGGACGCATCTAATCATCTTTTACGTAGTAGTACCATGTTGCAGCTATATTATTAGTATAGTTGTAGCACGAATGGGTCGTCTCGACCGAGGAAGGACCACGCTCTCACAAAATACCAGCGTAAAATAGCACCTTAAGGCTACTGTGTAGAATGAGAAAAAATGCAAATGCGTTGTCACCCGTGAGGTGACATCTGCATTTTGATTCGTAATCGAGGATAGATGTAGATGTCTATTGGGCCACAGTGACCACTTACCATCAGATGGACTGTGTGCTCGTTTGTCACCCTTATCCTATAAAAACAAAACACCACTTAACTTTTTTGCTAAATAACACCTCCAACTTCATTGAGCCTGTAAATAAAACAAACTGGGAAAAAGACAGCTTATGTAAGAAGGCAAGGCCGGCGCGGGGCATCGGGTCACGGGCGCTATGCAAATGCGCCGATGCCATTGTCGATAGCAACCAACGTCACTAGCTGCCGGTGTATACATGCGGCAGACTTCGAATAGGTACGGTATTGTATAAAAACAAATTAATTAACGGTACTGCACAGTCTAGCGACCGTATTCTGCAAGGCTTTGGTCATCACTGAAAATCAGCATTGTGATTTACAGCAAAGAGGGCTAATATAATTCCAGTGATCTGGTGATCTACTAGCGACATCTGGTGAGCAGAAAACTGCTCACCAGATGTCGCTAGTTGACCCTGAGGTAGTTTTTTTGTTACACAATGTCATTTAATTGAGACGTTAGTTTTACAAAACAATGCCTCAGTGGTTTGCTCCTTAATTTTGCACATTTTTAACCTTTTTTAATTTTTTCTACTTTTATGAATATCTTTGGTTTGGTTTACTTATTTTTAATCTTATTAATATAAATATAGCTTATAGTACAGAAAGAAACATTAACCTTTAAATTTTCCGAACAAATTAACTTCCCAGCTATGTAGTCTGTCAAATATTATACCTCACTTTTAAGTGGCGCCGCCCTGGTGGCAGAAAAAGTCGTGGATGCTCTCATTCATTCACATTTTTTATTATGGAAGAATGGTGACATACAAGCACACAGTCCACCTGATGGTAAGTGGATGATGTGGCCCATAGACATATATTTATCCTCGATTAAAAATCAAAATGCAGATGCGTTGTCACCCCAGAGGACTAAGATAGAATGCCTCGTTTCTAGTAAAAAGGTCTTACGATGTACAAAGTCGTTTTTAACCCCGAATG